AAACAATTTGCCATGGAGCGTTAACGGAGAGTTTTTGCGTTAGGCTCCAGCTCTTAGCTTATTCCTGTGTGTTGTCACTTCTCTAGAGCCTTGTAGACTGTTGCTGATGTATACCGACGATATATATATATATATATATATATTCTACGCAATAAACTTGTTTGCATCACCGGGTGACGTTTGGATAGACAGCTCTATCAGAGCCAGTCCATCGAAGAATCAATGCTATGATTCAATGTTTTTGTAAGTGGGTTAGATGCTACTAACGGCAACAAACGTGACTTGATAGTTTTTATAGAATATTTCGTCATAAGTATTATGTGAATGACTGGACAAAATTTTCTTGGAGGCACACGACTGGTTTCACGGTTCTTGCTGCTCGTCAGGCATGCGTATCCGGTAATCTTTTGTCAGTTCATTCATATACTTGTACCCAGGAAGTGTATTCAAGTCAGTTAACTTAAAAAGGCCTTCTTAGAGAGTTTATAAGGATGTCCATTAACTGAGAGCTTTGACGCGTGAATACAGAAAAGCGAAGCGGGCAACCAAGCGGCTTATGACAGTTTTGGCCAAAAATTGGTCAGTACCCGCTTCAGTCAAAAATAAGTAAGTATTTTAGATATACATTTGGCATTTTTCACCTAGAATTTTTGTCAACAACACAGAAACGAGGTTTTAAAGAATATTTGCTTCTGTCCACTTTGAGAGCAACAGATATACCAAACAATCTATGCACATCTTTCTCGTGTATTCTTGATTTTTATAAATGAACTAAAACCTGTTGCACAGGGCAGCCGATGATGCACGTCGGAGACGAGAAAATTGGAAAAAGTTGGAAAGCGCTGTTCAGCAAGGTCGCTTCGGCGCTACTCAAGGTACAGTGAAATCCAACGTATCAGAGTTAATGCCCCAATCGGGTTCCTGTCGTCGAATGTGGACCCAACCAAACTTCAGTCCGGCAACTGTGGGATCTGATCCAACCGCTCAGACACGAGTCATCTCAAAACCGGACGAACCTTCAAGTGCCGGATGGACTCCGTCTGTGAGACAACCAGTAAGACCATGGCGGTCTACCGACTCAACCAATCCAGTTCCGGCGTTAAACAAAGTTATCAGTAGCATCGATTCAACCGATGATAGAGAAAACAAGAAGTTGGTCGCTGCCAACTTCGTTACTATTACGACGGAGTCCGTGAGCACAACATCGGTGCTGAATAGCGCAACTACTACGACCACTACAACTGACAGTGTGTCCATCCTGAAGTCGTTCTACAGCACCCCATTTAAAACGGTCCCTATCATTTCTCCCAGACCGGTTGCAGCTACTACGACCGTTCCAGCATTGCTTACTGGCACGTCAAACGCACCGAAGACGTTGGTGACGAGTCCAAAAGCACTTGGCGATTCTGTTTCAAACGAACCGTCATCTATTCCCACGTAAGTGACAACTATTTTCTCTTCCCATTTGGAAACCATCAAAAATGAACGAGGGTATGTAACTCCATCGACCTTAATTACCGAAACTCTCAGCCTATCGAAATTTTTTGCAGTACGTAGTTCATGTTAAAACAAACTTCGGAAATGGGATATATCATAGGTAGCTGGCACTAGTTTCTCCTATTATAAAAAGTTACGGAATCTAATAATCAAGAGAAGGATCATTTTTAAGTCAGGAATCCCGTGTTGCAAGATCCGAATTGCCGATAAAGTAGACCTCTTTTTGCTCGTCTCAGCCGTGCGACTGCGATGTATCAGTATCACAGTCCCTCAGATGTTTGTGTTCGAACCCCAAACGCGCCGCCTTCTTCTATTCTTTGCAACACATTTTGGATGTATATTTGGTCTCCTTACACACTTGCCGCAGACATTTTGTACATCCAGACACCGGTGCCTGGAAACAATCAAATGGATTTAGAGTATCAGACTTGGATTAGCCAATTCGATTGTTCAGCGGCACCAGGCACTCTTGATGGTCTTGGGTGTGGGTTTCACTCCTTGGGAGATCGTTAATTCCTCACTGTTTGTATGTATTCAAATGCGATGAAAATGCTTGTGATAACCGGCAAAGAGCACTGGACAGCTGTTTCGTCCGATTTGGGACTCGTCAGCAGTGTGTATTTCTTGTGTCCCTGTCAGGACTCGAACCGTGATCAATTGGGTCGGGACAAAAGACCCTTACCCCTGAGCTACACAGTCCACGGTTACCATCTTGTGTGAATGGCTTAATCAATTTAGAGTATCAAGCTTGGATTAAATCATTCGATTTTTCAGAGACACCAGGCACTCTTGATGGTCTTGGGTTATTTCAAATTTACTTCACCTAGTCGAAGCCTTTATTTTTCCCCTGACACATCGGAGTGGTTCAAGTAGTTCACAGTGATAAAAACCAGAGCCCATACACATCTAATGGAAACTGGTTAGGAGTTTAGCTATCGGCTAAGTGCTTCATCTCCCAAACTCATATGGCTTTTTATGTCCATGCGGAGAAATTCATATCACCTTGGCTGTGCCATTCGATCGCAGACCTTCATTGATTATTTGCAAGTGATTAATTTATCGCCAGCTGAAAAAAGCAAATTTTAACAAATACGTGCATTCTGTCATCTCATAAACACTCCAATCTACTCTACAACAATCCGTACAGCGAAGATTGTGTACCACATTCGCAATATGTGGATGAACTTCTTTGTGAATGATGCAATATTAGATTTGAACAAAACAATAAGGCTCTGTAAGTTGCATGAGTAATTCGAATGCCAAAAACTTACATTGTTCAGTGATTTACTTGTTTGCATTTGATTTGGCTTAAGTGACCACTACGGTGCAGGGTAAGATCGATGCATTCTTTTCGGTAAGCCTTCTGTCTCTCACAGTATGAAACAATTTGTTTCATTGCTCAACGGGTAAAGCGAAGGGCATAAGCTGAGGTCATACAAACTAGGTTATCCAACACTAATTATACAACCTTTTGCACAACAAAGCTCCAAATCTCCAAGCCGATTGTTTGTTTCCAGATAGTCTCTACAGTTCCACTTCGTGCATATGCGTTTACTTCTCCCCTGTGGAACATCAAGCATCAGCCGCTCGGTTAAGCGCGTTGCCCGAACGGGATTTGTGAATATCACTCCGCGAATTTGAGAACATCGAACGATGAAGTCCGATAACCTCCAGTGGTTTCATACCTCTAGCTGAAAAAAATCACAACCTATGTGACCGAGGCTAGGCAACATCTATTACCAGTCGCACTGTTGTGACAGGAATTCTCCGGTACAACGAGGCGCTATGTGCCCCGAAAAGATCTGTACAGACGTTTGAAACCTGCGCACTCCCCCCCCNCCCCCCCCCCCCCCCCCGCTTCTCCAGTCCACACCCACTGACAGGCTTAACCTGGACAAACGTGTGAATGAAAAGCAACTGCTATCATGATAAACTTTATATCCCGTGTGAAAATCAAATAAGGCCTCCCTCCCACCCGGCTAACCTGGGATATCAAGTTTTCTTCCGGGAAAACATTTTCTCGGTAAAAAATGAAATTTATGATGATGATGATGATGATGATGATCTTGATCACGTCATAAATCTCCAGTTTAACCGCCGGATTGCGACACTCGACGCGAGCCCTATCACAATATCGTTTTATGAACACCTCTGTACTCTGTGGAACTGTTCAGAAAATTAAAATCTTTGACCCCAGAGAAATCTCATATTTATTGTTCAGTTGGGTTGAATGGGTTGTTGAATGACATAATTGGGACTTAGTTGGTCAACCGAAAAATCAGTTCCGTTTGACTTCAACATCTTATTTACCGCTGCATGCTCTGAAATCATTCGTAAATAATCCCATTGCTGATGGTGTTGCGGCTACTCTGGAATCGTCTGGTGGTATGAAGCTCGTTTTAGTTACTATATTGAAGCCAGAATTCTAGCGTTTGAAAGCCTACTGGTGTATTAGGGATTATTTCTTCGAATGTGTAAGTTTATCATGAGCTGCACATGGACTGTTGCCCCAACGCAAACAAGAGTGATCTTCGACTACGATGGATTTTAAACGATCAGTCGGTCTGGTAATGTACTGCAAACATGCAATTCTCGTAAGAAAAACATTCGAAACACCTGGGCGTGAGTTTCAGTTTCAGTCTTCATCAAGTGATTTAACATTTCATTCTATGGGCACGTTGACCATTAACTTGTGGAACTGATGCACATTCTCACTGACATTTTTCCACATTTTGATATGATAGCAGTCAGATTACACAGGATAGAATCCATTGGGTAGTGCCATTGTGTCACGCTAACCGCTGAAAGAACCTTGAAAGCACTATACTCCTACTGAAACCTGGATAAGAATATCAGCAGTGCATTGCAGTCCCAGCCAGAATGAACCGCTACTGAAAATACGTGATGCAGAGATTAGCTCAAGTTCTGGCAGTTAAGGTCCAACTGCAAAAGCGCATAGGCTTGATGCAAAAACAAGCCGATAACAGCCACCCGAGCTGTCTCGGGTAGCCTGGTGACAATGTGTGGAGGCCACGTATCTGCCCGAGGTCCGAGTACCATCCACGACAAGCACGCAGTGGATGTGTTTCACTGATGATGGATGATTCCTTAGAGGGATAGGCGAGCTAGGATACGTTCTTCCGAAGCTTTTCAGTGATATTTAAAGTGTGATAGTAATACACGGTAAATCGATTCCTAGATAATCATCATTCGAAAGCAACGCAAACCAAGCAGCACGATTTTAGCACATGCTACGTTGTTCTTCTGTCCGAAAAATCAATTCCATCCCGTGTTGCACACACTCCGGCAGCAATCACCAGGTGTTTTGTTTTTTGATTATGATCTTCCAGGTTGGTAGCGCTTAAATTGATTTAACCCGATTCGGATGTTAGCGAAAAACAGAGAAGATATTTCGATTTGGTTATTAGGTACTTGTTGAAAGCTCACAAATTAACTTTGTCATTTTCAACAATGAGGGGAGCAAGTTAAAAACCGCAAATCCCTGTATCAATCAAACGGGGTGAAAAGACATGGAAATATGAATATTTTCGCGAGCTTATTCATAAACTAAGCTGAGAAATAAAAGCTCGCGTAAACAAACAATGTCGCATCACAGATTTGAGGTCAGTATACAGGTGATTACAGTGAAGAGCGAACGATGATGCCAATTCAGCTCCAAATGAATACTCGAATATGCAGCTTATGAATCATGATAAAATCAAAAACTCAGCCGAGCGGCATTTCTGTGGCAACTAGTATCGGTTTGATTCGGTAACTACATTCGCACTTCAATGACACAACCATCTGCTTGATTTGAAATGCTTAATGGCCGTTATATCCACGATTTTTGATTAGTCGGAATCAATCAACCTTATTGAGGAGGGATCTCGGGAAACGTGAATCCTTATTCCACTCGATATAACATCGATATAACATCATACAACGGTTTTAAGGCATTGTACACCTCCCACGTCAGACCTCGCTTGGAGTTCGCGAGCGCCGCGGCATATCCCTATACAACTGCTGAAATGGTGAAGCTGGAGAGAGTCCAACGAGCTGCCACCCGTATGATTGCCGGGTTACGCGGGTGTTGCTACACCGAACG